GGCCAGGAAGTTTATCTTCTTAATCTGTGCATGTCTGATGCCTTGTATGGTTGGTTGGTCAATAAATATTAGTGGAATAAAAGATTCTATAAAATTAAATGCCTACATGCATACAGATTTCTGACACATTTGTAAGGTCCAGGCGAATCTTTACTGTTTCATATAGTTCTTCAGGTTATGATCTGTGTTTTGTTTCCAGATCAGATTAAAAGGAAAAAGTGTTCCCTAGTCTGCCATCCCCATACAGGGAAGAACAGCTTGTTCTCGAGTGCCACCTGCTGGTCAAATAGAGTAAAGCTCTTTGGTTAGGCAACACTGAAATGAAAATAATAAGTAGTTCCCTCTACTGATTTATAGATCTGAAATGCTAGGAAAAGAAAGTGTAAAACTGGACACACATTCTGATGGTAACTATAAATATATACATACACACACACACACACACACACACACACACACACACATATATTGAAGGCAAGGACTTGCAGTTGCATTAGGATATTGGGACTATGGGTGAATTCCTTCCTCTCTGTTTCCAGTTCTTTTACTATTATAATATGTAATCAGTGTTAGTTAATAAAGTTCTCAAGTTAAGTCTGTCCAAGATATTAAAGTGGGCTTAAAACAATGCCATCACTTCTCCAGTTGCCACAAAATTGTGAACCTGGGCCACCTGTGACTTCTCTTTCTTCATTCTTTGGGTTAAGGTCAAGTCCTGCCAGTGTTTCTGCCTACACATCATTACTGGCCAACCAGTGAAAGGGGCCAGAGTCAATTCACCAGTTGCCTGCCTCGGTACTAACCAAGTTGGATTTCAGTTAATTAAGATCTAGCGATGCATCCATTCATGGAGCAAACATTTACTATACGCTTTCCCTTGTGTCAGGCACCCCACTTAGACTAGTTCCTCTCCAATTCCAGATATTAAAAATCTTACTCATTTGGATAAACTGGGGGAAAACCAAGCCCAATTACTGAAGAATCCCCAAATGGTAGAATAGCAGGAGGAAAAACCTCATTTATTCCTGCCAAATATTTCATGGGAGCTGAAAAACTGAGGCTTTGAAGACCTATTTTCAGGGATATAAATAAGAACTCTTGGTAAATTAACAGATTGAATATCTTCATGCACATTCAGAGTGAAAAGAATTTGCTCTTTTCATCAGCTTACATTAGTACCCTCCAATCCTGCTAACCCAATATCATAAGTAGTTGCTTAAACTATGGGGGTTTCCTTGTGCGCGCGCGCGCGCGTGTGTGTGTATGTGTGTTTGAGACAGAGTGCAGTGGTGCGATCTTGACTCACTGCAACCTCTGCATGCGGGAAAGCAATCTTCCACCTCAGCCTCCCAAATAGCTGGAACTACAGTCCTGTGCCACCAAGCCCAGCTAATTTTTACAATATTTTTTGTAAGGAGGAAGTTTTGCCATGTTGCCCAGACTGGTCTTGAACTCCTGGCCTCAAGTGATCCACCCACCTCAGCCTCCCAAAGTGCTGGGATTACAGGTGTGAGACACCGTGCCAGGTAAAAATTGTTTTTTAAGAGCTCAAAATCATTAAGCCTTGGTACGTCTTCTGCTAACTTATTACCAAATTTTGAATCAGTATGGTGCAGATGAGTTTACTGCCAACCCCAGTCCCTTGGCCTAGAGCTTCACTGTTCCTAACCTGGATACGGCTCTGCCCTGTACCTGCTGTGGAACTATGGCATTATACTGCTTTGATGTGCCTATTTTCTCATCTATAAAACAGGGATTAAAAATTATGTCTGATTGGCCAGGTGTGGTGGCTCACACCTGTAATCCCAGCAGTTTGGGAGGCCACAGGGGGCAGACCACCTGAGGTCAGGAGTTCGAGACCAGCCTGGCCAATATGGCGAATCCCTGTCTCTACTAAAAATACAAAAATTAGCTGGTTGTGGTGGCAGGCCTGTAATCCTAGCTACTTAGGAGGGTGAGGCAAGAGAATACTTGAACCTGCGAGTCGGAGGTTACAGTGAGCCAAGACTGAGCCACTGCACTCCAGCCTGGGCAACAAGAGCAAAACTGTCTCAAAAGGAAAAAAAAAGTGCCCCATCTTGGAATGTTCAGAGGGTGAAATGAGGTAAGGTAGATAAAATACTAAGCACAGGGCCTGGCACATAGTATATGCCCGATAAATTGTTAAAGTGACGCTATTCAATACCTGTGCTCCCTTATCCTGACTGCCTGTGGTTGCTGCTTTTTCTCCTGAATACTTGTAACCATCACAGTCTACTTCATTCATTTGCCACTTTGCCTTTTCATTTACTAAACTTGTTGTGTGTGTGTGTGTGTTTTGTCCCCAAACTATTAAGGGACTATATCTACATTCCTATTAGAGTACAGAGCTTAGTGCCTTAGATCCAGTAGAGCCAGGGAATTCACTTGGCCAGCTACCCCATGAAGCCCTTTCTGCCTTGTGCAGTTTAGGGGGATGGAGGTGAGGAGGTAAAAGAGGAGAGCAGGCAACAGGGTTCACATGGGCAGTTGGGGCTGCCAAAGTGACAAGCTGAGAATAAACAGGTGGCCTGGGAGATCAAGGAGGGTTTGCTAGGAACTGTGGCCTTGACAACACCCTTTATCTGCAGGTTGCCTAGGGTCATCTGGTGGGCTTCACCTCTGAAGACACATCTCTAGGACCTAGAGGACCTGTGACTTACTGTCATTTTTAGAGCTGAAGGCCCAGCTCAACTGGAAGCTCTTTAAAAGGGAGTGAGCTGCAAAGCCAGAGTGGGGGGCAGGGGTCCCGATGCTACACCTGAGCCCTGACACCTGTCATATTAGTGACTTAATCACCAACCCCACAGTGAAGGCAAGAGACTTCACACAGTCCCTCTCCGAGGTGGGAACTGTCCCCTAAGGCAGTCCTCCTCTAGCTGCTGTCTTAATATATCTTCTTATGCTCCTGAGCATATTAATCATGAAACACTTTTATTTATAGAAAAAAATTAACATAATGTATCTAGAGCTTTTGATCACTACCTTAAAAAGATTAAAGTTATTAAAGTTTTTCAACTTTTCCTCCAAAATACCCAAATCCCTGCTGACTTTCAAATTTAACTCTTCTTGTAAAGCACATTCTCCAGCAATGTAGGGAGGATATGTCCCAGAGACCACAGTATCTGTCAAAAAAATTTATACACTCAGCAACTCTGCTCATTGTGGATGTACTCAACCTTAGTAGAATAGGTAATAGGTATGTTTTCCCCTCACTGTCCTATTTTAAAGAACAAGACACAGATGTGATGGTGATAAAATAGGAAAGGCTCCTACCAGAACAAGCTCCTTTCCTAAACTCATTGGGTGTGCCAGGCACTGTGAAGATTGGGCCTTGCCCTTGAGGAGTTTATAATACACTAGCGATTATAAAAATACAAGAGTATAACTCAGGCATACAGCAACAGAAGTAAGGGCCATTGAGGTACTAACATGAGCCTGGGTAAAGGAAGGCTCCATGAGGGCCTAACTATACGAGCTAAAATGTTTGCTATTTACCACATATAGAACAGGAGGTGAGGGTAGCACTGAACATTTTCAGCTGGGATAACAGCTTCATGGCAAAGTGCTGAGAAAGGCAATTTGCTATAGGATTCAGGATGGTTTGGTGGGGGGAAGAGGCTGGTCGTTACTCCAGGAAGAAGTGGGGTGTGCATGCATCATCCAGACAGAGTCCTAAGAACTGACGGAGGGTAACAGATGTCCATCTCTCTGTGAGAATTGGGTAAATTAGTCCCTCTCGGCCCCACCCTCCCCTCAACCCCTTCATCCCTCCCTCCATCTTTTTTTTTTTTTTCTAAGATGGAGTATGGCAGGGCGTCTCAAAAAAAAAAGACAGAGTCTTGCTCTGTCACCCAGGCTGGAGTGCAGTGGCACGATCTCAGCTCACTGTAACCTCCATCTCCTGGGTTCAAGGGATTCTCCTGCCTCAGCCTCCCGAGTAGCTGGGATTACAGGTGCAGGCTACCAAGCCAAGCTAATTTTTTTTAATTATTATTTTTTAGTAGAGATGAGGTTTCACCATGTTGGTCAGGCTGGTCGTGAACTATTGACTTCATGATCCACCCACCTCGGCCTCCCTAAGTGCTGGGATTACAGGTGTGAAGCACTGCTCCCAGCTGAGAATTTATTTATTTATTTTTTATTTTGGGGACAGAGTCTGGTTCTTTCACCCAGACTGGAGTCCAGTAGTGTGATCTCAGCTCACTGCAGCCTCAATCTCTGGGCTCAAGAGATCCTTCTGCCTCAGCCTCCCAAGTAGCTGGAACTACAGGTGCACACCTCGCTAATTTTTTTTTTTTTTTTTTTTTTTTTTGTAGAGACAGGGTCTACATTGCCCAGGCTGGTCTTGAACTCCTGGGCTCAAATGATCCTCCTGCCTTAGCCTCCCAAAGTGCTGAGATTACAGGCATAAGCCACAATGCCAGGCAAGAACTTTTATTCTAAACTTAGACAAATAAACTCACATTCTAAAGGTAAAGATGCCAAAATGGGGGAAAGTTTATAAAAGGTAATATAAATCATCACAAAATTAATTTAGAAGAGGAGGCAAGAACAGAAGGAAAATAATTTGAAGAATACAATTAGATCACTTTTTTTTGGGGGGGGGGGGTGGAGTTTCGCTCTTGTTACCCAGGCTGGAGTGCAATGGCGCGATCTCGGCTCACCGCAATCTCCGCCTCCTGGGTTCAGGCAATTCTCCTGCCTCAGCCTCCTGAGTAGCTGGGATTACAGGCACGCGCCACCATGCCCAGCTAATTTTTTGTATTTTTAGTAGAGACGGGGTTTCACCGTGTTGACCAGGATGGTCTCGATCTCTTGACCTCGTGTAGATCACTTCTTATCACCAAACCGTACATCATTCAGAGCCATTAGGCTGATGCAAACAAAACACACTTTGGGTCCAAAATATAAGCTTCTCTCTTCCCATTTCTGACATTTAACATATTAAGCAACATAAACAAAGTAAAATGGCAACTTACTATCCAGGAGTCTCTGAAGAAACTTCCAGAGTGGGGCTGATAGCTGAGCTCTGTAAATGTCCAAGAAAGAAAAGAAGAAAAAAATAATATAGATGATTTATTTTGACCCATATGTTTCAAGTCAAGAGGAAAAAGAGAGAGGTCACTTTCCCTTCCTAGTTTAGATAAGGACCTCTGGAAGTCGGGGGGCTGGATGGAAAAGGTCTTCAGTGCTGGTGGAGGGCGGTGCTCTTTCTCTGGGAGGAGAATGCATGGGCAGGTGGGCTCTCCTACTCCTGGTCTTTTGCTTTTCAGTGGATGCACCCAAGGCTCTCTGGGTGGGTCAGGAGAAGGCCACCTGGCTCATACTTGTCTTCCATCACAGGTCACCGGGCAGATGGCCCTCCAGTGGGCCAACATGCTTTAATGACATGAATGGCACATCCTCCACCAGCTTCTCGGCAGCCCTCAGAACCCCCTCTGAGCTGACTGCAGATCCCATCATGCACCCCAAATGCCACATCCAGAGAGAAAGTCACCCAACACTTTAGGGCCAGAATGCACAAAAGTGTATTTTAACATACCACCGTGTATTTAGATTACTTGTGTATACTTATGCATAACTTTGTGTATGCAAATTTAGGAGTGTAGAAATGGGGAGAAATGCAATTTCACCAACCCTATTAATGACCATTTCAGCACGAATAAAGGAATGCTTTATAAAATTACCAGGCACCACTCAAAAGGAAGAAAACAACCAAGAACTACATGCAGAAAAAAAGCAACATAATTCTGTAGTTTAGGGTTTCTGTTGTTGTCTTGGAGAGAAAAACGCAAAGGGTTTGATATGCCTGTTTTTAAAAATAAGGTAGTAATTGAATAAATTAATGTAAAGGTTAATTTTAAGGATAATCCTACCTTACATAATGGCCTCATCTCTAATAATGACCATTTTAAGAAAAACTAGCTATTTGCAGAAGAGACAGTTAAGGAAAGGAGAGAAAGAAAAGGAAGAGAGAGTCAAAGAGAGAAAAGGAAATGACAGGGAAGAGGCAATCCCACCCGCATAGCCCTTTGCCTGCTGAAACCTGTTGGGCTTGTGTGCTTTCATTTCTGAGGGCACCTCTGCACAGGGATGAGTACTGTACCCCGTGCCACCCCCATTATTCCGCAGAGAGCACACCCCTCTTAACCTCCAACTCCATCCTCTAGCCTTTCTGGCTGCACTGTCTTGCCGGCCCATCCTCTCCTTCCTCGGTCTCCTGCCTCTGAACAACTGACCTGTGTGGTCTTCCACCTTGGAAGACCTTGCCCTGGTCTCCATCTTGAAAAACCTTTGACCCTGTAGAGTCCTCTGGGAATGCTCCCCTTCCTTCCTTCCTTCCGTGGTCACATCTTTTCATTCAGTGCTGTACCCCTGCAGGCTCCTGATTCTCTGCCATGAACTTACTCACCCAGCAACCTCCAAAGACTTTGGAAACATCTTAGTCATCACATCCACTGGCCTTCCTGGGAGTCCATCTTTCTGGACCTCTGGGAAGATTTCACACTTTCTCCTCTTGCTCCATCACTCGCTTTTCCCTCTGCCTCTGTGAACTCTGCTTTCTCTCCCTCTCCCCTTCTCCTACTCCACGTCACCCAGCATCCCCATAGGTAGTTGTTAGTTTCACATCCTTTTTCTCAACACAATTCCCTCTTGAGTCTGTCATCTACTCCCCAGTTGGGTGTCTTCATCTACTCCCAGGACCTCAACCATTGCTTCCACTCAAGTGACTCGTATCCCCATCTTAAGCCCATGCCTCTTCCAAGAACCCTAGTCTTAAGACTTCCAACTACCTACCGGATATTGCCTATATGACACCCAACCAACACCTCAAAGGTCAGTTACCTAAAGCCAGCTCCCTCACCTTGCCTCTGCCCTGATCGTCTTCCCAGATTTCCTCTGTGATGTGCTCAAGTCCTCATTCTTCCATCTGCCTGGCCAAAACCCCAAGGTTGTCTTTGTCTCAATTTCATCCTCCAATTCTTTGCTGTTTACACCAGTCAGTTAAAAAGTGTCACCGCAACATCCTCAGTGACCTCGCTCGCATCTGCTCTCCCCACTGCACGCTGGTGCACCCAGCATGGGCTCTCACCACAGCCGCAGCCACCACTCTCACTCCAGGACTAGCTGTGATCACTTCTCACATAGGACCTTCAATTCCACAGTGGCTAACCTGGTTCCTCCACCCTAATTGGAAACTAAGCCCCTAACCCCACTCTGCCTGCCCCGCCCATCACCTGTCTGCCTCACCCATGTGTGCAGTGCCTGTTGTGCCTCCTTCAAGTACTGAGAGAGAGCTTGGACCTAAGCCCCAGCCCTGCTGGCCTCCTCATGCTCTGCTGTCTCTGAATTCCCAGTTCCTAACACCCTCAATCAACCTGCAGCTCCTTGGCTCCTGACTCTCTTATCCCAGACCTCTTGGCTGCTGCCAAATCCCCAGTCTCTTCACCCCTTTCCTGGTTTGAGTCTCTGCTGCTCTCATGACTTTTGTGCCCAAGTCACTGGGGCTGGAGATCTGACTCCATAAGCAGTTTCCTCTGTTCCTGTCACAGTTTGTGGACCTTCTTGGCCTCCTTGGCTCCATATTCCTTTTCTGTCGCACCTATAATCTTTTTTTTTTTTTGATACAGAGTCTCACCCTGTCACCCAGGCTGGAGTGCAGAGGTGTGATCTCAGCTCACTGCAATCTCTGCCTCCTGAATTCAAGCAATTCTCCTGCCTCAGCCTCCCAAGTAGCTGGGATTATAGGTGCCCACCACCATGCCTGGCTAATTTTTGTATTTTTAGTAGAGACAGGGTTTCTCCATGTTGGCCAAGCTGGTCTTGATCTCCTAACATCAAGTGGCCCATCTGCCTCAGACTCCCAAAGTGCTGGGATTACAGGCACGAGCCACCGCGCCCAGCCTCCTTTTGTATCTTCTCTAAAGATATCTTTTCCTTTTAAGAGTCTCTTTTGTTTTGTCAGGGAGCCCTATGGGCAGCAACTGGGAACATTTGGTTTTTTCCTCCTTGGAAACCTACTTACCATAGTGTCTCTCTCTCTTTCTCTCACTTTCTCTCAAACACCCTTTAATAAACCACATTTTGACATAGCTCCCTTTAAAACATCAATGCAGGCTTAGTTTCAAACACGTTTTTCCTGTGTCCAGGCCATCTGACCTCTGAGTGCATCTTTCATTGAGAACTTTCTGACCTTTAAAATGACAAACACTACTACTCTGAAAGCGCCATGCACAGAAAGTGTACCCAGAGCACTGCTGCTGAGTTTTTGAAACTGATCTCTGAGGTTGGTATCTCCCAGGGCTGCCAAAAAGACAAGGAAACTGCCAAAAATGACTCCCTGAAAATTCAGAGAAGGCACCCAGAAGCGAAGGAAGGAAACTTAAAAGGTCACCCCAGGAAAGCAGAGAAACAGAATAAGGCGGGAGAGTAGTTTCAATCCGCAGCCTCTCTGCACGTAACTGAAGAATCCCCTTTAAGGAAGATGCCAAGCTCAAAAGAAAACCAAGCAAAAATGAACTGGGCAGGGGTGAGGGAAGGGTCCAAAAGAGGAGGCAGAAAGCCATGCAGCCTAAAATAACCAGCATCACCATCTGTCACCTCAGCTACTTCAAAAACCACAGAACAAAGAAAGCAAAGCACAGCTTGAAAAGGAACTGACGGCATGAGAAAAACTAGGAAATACCTGTGGCACGTTTGCACTGGGTGCTTTATTAAGCGTCTCCATTTTTTCTAAATCTGCCTCTAACTCTGTCTGGCAGAGGTTGAGATCTTTGTCTAGATTAGTCTGGTTCAAGAAAGAAAAGATGGGAAAGAATGTTTTAGTTTAGAGGAAAAGGAGAAAGAATGGAAGGTTAAGTTAGAAAAAAATGAATTTTTTTCTTTTAGTGTTATACTTTCATAAGGCCAAGATAGCACGACTAAAACACGGGAGCTTACCAGAAATTAGTTAAAGACATGAAAACAAAGAATGTAACATTAGGCATATAAAGCAGAAATCCTGAAGTAATCAGAGCTTCAAAAATCTATTCTACTTGCTAAGGAGAACTACAAAAACCTACCTTTAAGGAAATGCCTATTTTCTCTTTTTTCAGAGTGTGGTAACAGTGACAAATACTCTATGTCAGAAGGATATGTAATTGCTTTAAAAACCTCTAAACATTAGTATATGTCTTAGAGAATTTGTTACATAGTTTTATTACCAAGCCAAAAAAAAAAAAAAAAAAGCATCAAGTTTTTAAAAAAGTGATTTAAGAAAAAAACAAACCCACAACACACTCACACTAACCAAAGCTAGAGAGCACACACAGTCCAACAGAGGAGGCACAGCGGAATTACCTTTCTATCCTCTCTAGGAAGGATAGAGCAGTCTCCAGGAGTATAATCCCATATCTTTTTGGGAGGCTGACGGGAAGCAGAGGAGGAAATGAAGAAATGAGCATAAAGACATAAAGACAAACATGGAGACTGGCTCAAACAAGGAGGGGCACACTAGGAGAACTGTATCAACACAGAAAGGTGAACTCAAAAGCAGGGGAGCGGGTGCTGCCTACGGACACAGGCTGCCTGCTGGTGGGGAAGCCTGAGGATTTAGGAGCTGGGACCATTACCTAGGAAGTTTGTTTCTATGTCTATGTTTCAAAAGCAACTCATCCTTGGATTCTTAATATTGAAAGCTTAACAAAACAAGGCAGGGGAGGGGAAGCATTAACACAAATGTAAACAAAACTAGAAACTTTTAAATTCCTCATTGTTCTTTTCAAACTAAGATTGACACTGAAGATTCTACACTTTTGAGGCAGTCTTCTGCTGTAAAATTCATTGTGTTTTAACACGTGTATGAATTTAGAGGTGTGGTCAATGGACTGAACCAAATGTACTTTCTATGGTTTGTAACAATGAAATCCATGTACAAAATGGTTCTTAAATAGTGCACTAGACAATTTCATACCAGTAGTTTAAAAATCTCCTTTTATAGTTTAACTAGACCTTGATAATACTATTAGTGGTAGAGACATACTTTTCATCCTCCTTAGAGAACAGAGTTTAAAATTTAAAGAGGGGACTGTAAGGTTATTTTTGTTTTGTCTTTTAACCCTTTAAGTCAGATTTAAAGCTGCATTCCTAAGACGGAAATTTGCCAAAAGATGATTGTAAGCTTAATGAGGAAGGAGTCCCGAGGGTGGGACAGTCAGAGGTTACAGGCGACTTCTAACCCTGGATCCCCTCTTCCACTTGTTCTGCCTATTTAGACTTGTATTTTCTTACATAATGACCTCTAGGGTGGTAAGAAATAAATCATTAACAGCTCCTAAAATTTTGTGCAAATTTCATTATAGCCAACTCTATGGAAGCATTCAAATCAGGTTACATTGTGAAATTCTGACTTGCTCTTACATATAGAAATCATGTCGATTTCTATAGAAATCAGAGCAAAACAATTCAGAAGAAAAAGTAGATTCCCAGTCTCCTTGTAATAAATCTGCAAATGAGAAGTAATCTGATTCCAAGATGTGTTCACCACTGACACTCACAGGTCAGTAATGTCATCTCCATACACTTATATTCTGCATTTCGCAAAGTAAGTGATACTAGCAATTACCATTCATCTCTAAGCACTTAATACACTTGGAATGTTCACCTGCAGAAGTAGACTTTTTGAAGTCTAATGGCTTATGGTCATTTCTTTACTGCAATAAACAGAACAGTGTTTACAAATTAAACTGGTTTTAAATAATCCTTCTAAAAATGGTCCCTGGAATCTTGAACTATTTGCTATTCTAACAACTTGTTAGAGCTAAATAGCTATAAGTTTTAGTCAACATCTTGCTGAAATTTTAGTTCACTTTGGATGACTTAAGCAAAGAGGTGGAGGAAGCAAGGAGTTCAGGGTAAATGTCTAGTGTCAAAGTTCCAGCAGGTCTTACTCAGGGAAAGTGGTCCCCAGTTGGTGTGAGGAAAAAACAAAAGTAGAAATGCTGATTCCCATGATCTGGTAGGAGTTTTAATTTGACTCTGCTTCTGAATGGCTGAAAAACTTTCCAAAAGAACTTCCATGGTTTTTACCACTTTTATTTATGTTTCTTATTCTTTTGTGGCAGAGTAGTTGGGGAAGGAAGTGAAGAAAAAATTTCTCCTCACCACACCTTCCTCCCAAACCCTGTTGGTTCAACTAGATAATAAGCCCACCTTTAGGATGCCTCCAACCACAAGGAGCTGTTCATTTCAGGGCTGTCCCTCAGGATATGGGCATAAGGTTAGTTAGTTTGACAAGTCCTCACAGTACTATTTTTTAAAGTAAGACCTACACAAGAGGGAGCCATCTCATTAGAAGAACTCTGAGGCCTGTGCAAAGAATGCATGTGGCTTCAGAGAAAATGCTATTTTGAAAAAGCGTCTCTAAGTCTTTAAATAATTAAAAGGCAACTAGAGCACTGGGGTAGGGATACAAGCTACAAGAAGGCCCCAATATACAATTGGACTGTGTCCTCAACATTTCTTTGAAGTTATCTGTGTGGTACCTGGACTGAAGTTTTTGGCAGCAATAGCATTAATTTATTAAGCTATGCATGGAGGCTATTTAATGTATGCTGGTATTGAAATACTGTACATTATCCTCAAAAATTATTTGTAATGATAGATTTAGCAAAACAATAACAACTAATTAGAAAGAAAAATTCCACCACTTTTCCTGAAAGCTAATATTTCAGGTAAAACTAATTTAGTTATTTAGCAGATGAGATGGCCAGAAATTTGTGGATTCTGAAACAGACATCAAAAATCAATGGCAGGGACTCTACTAAACATAATTTAATAGCTTTTGCTTTCCGTGATTAAAGTATGGCATTATTGCTTTATCCACCAATCATGGTCTGTTTGGGGGGTAGGAAACAATGACATACAGCAAAAGCTTATTTTTGGTGATGTAATTGGTTTTAAGAAAAAGAAGAAAAGAGAAAGGGTTAGGATACTGTTAAATACTACATGTGGAAAAGATTGCCTGAGGCAGACTTAACTGATATCTGAATGGTGAACAGCAGAGGGGGAAAAAAAGAGAGAGAGAGAGAGAGAGAGAGAAAGGAGAAGAAATGAGGTGTGCACCAATGCTTTGGGGAGGGGAGGAGGGTGCAGACTTTGGGTCAGATGCGTCCCTCTCCACTGGTCACTAGGTGGCGCTGTTCATCCAGGACAGCTCAGCTGCTATCGGGAGACAGTGTCTAGGAGGGACCAGAAGAGAGGAACAAGCAGGCTGTTTGCAAGTCTGGTGCTCTTAACTCAGAAGATGCCTGAACTTTCAAAGCTCAGCATTGCCAAATTAAAGAGCAATTTCTAAGCACCAGCTTAATTTCTCTTTGTTTTAATAAGAAAAATTTTAAACATTTTACTGAACTATAAAGTTCACTCTTGCCTGCAAATAAAACTATCATCCCAGAACATAGAAACTCAAAAGCTGGATCCAATGCTAAAGTCTCATACAATCACCTAATAAAATGTTTTTATATGCTTAACTCCTCCACCTGTAAATTCTTTTTGCAGCTGTAATAATTAAGATTTTGAACTAACTAGAGTTTTAAAGTCAGTTTCCAGTCATCTCTAGAGGAAGGATGAGCTCAATTCTCCCTTCTGTTTTATATTCCTTTGGGTGCAAGGCTAAGAAAATCCTCCTTTAAGTGCCAAAAGTCAATTTGTACCAAAGCCAACTCAGAGATATCATAGGGGAAGAATAGGTTGAATACTAAATATGTTAGAATTCCTTAGTCCCATTTCAAACTTTGGGAAATACCCTACATCACAGAAATCATTCCCTAAAAGTCACCCATAATGGGGTTGCATTTGTGGGTCACATCTGCATAAAGAGGTCCTTGTTGGCCTGCTCTGGGACTTCATTTACATTTGTGCTTTTAAAAATACAATTTAAAGCAGAGACAATGCTGGTCTTCTCAGTATATAAGCATTTTCAGCTTGTCTTTAGCCATCCACAAGGAATGTGATATTTGTTGTTACTGGGGGAGGTCTAAGATAAGCAATGATTATTTGTGTTTCTCTGGGATATTCCAGCAAGATATACTTCCAGAGCTCACTGTCCTTTCTCAGTGAAGCAATGCAAAAGAAAGCTTAGAAGTTGTAGCGAGAAGAGACAATCCCACTACAGACAACCAACGTAACTGGCCCCACTTTCTGAATTGCTTACAAATATCTGATTCTTTAGCAGCAACAATGCGTCCACAGCATTAGTTTAAAAGGTGTATAACCACTGAAGCTATTAAACTTACCGGTTTCCCAAACTCCAATTCCGAAAAGAATTTATACCAAGGTTCATTCTTTAAATCTATCTCTTCTGGGCTTATATCCCGACTCTATAGGGGTTGGTGATAGGGAAATGGAAGAAAGAGAAGGATAACATTATGCAAAGGTTACATAGGAACAGGCCAGTAGAGATGCAGTGGTTTCCAGGTATATACAGCAACTGCATTTAACAGCAGCAATCATCTGTTTTTACTGACATCAGCAAAAACAGGAGGGAGAGGGTGGGTTTACAAAAACAGGGAAAGTGAGGCAGGGAACAGTGAATGAATCATTCTCAGCCCTAAGGCAGAGGAAAATGGACTACAGATGGAGAACTTTGCACCACACTGCTGCATACACAACAAGTCTGAATCTGGGCATAACAGCATTCTGCAATAATTTTCAATAATGTGGAAGAAAAGAAAGCCCTTTACAAAGAACTATTAGTTATGAGCAAATTACCTGGTGAGCACACCAAACATTTAAGCCATCTATGCCAGCTGAGTAGAGCAAACGATTTTTATGGACTAGTACAATTTTAGTACTTGTTTGCAAAGCTGCCTGAAGGTTTTCAAAATAAACGCAAATATTGACACTTTATAAAAAGCCAATTGGTTAATACTGCATCTTTAATGGCACATGAGTAGGTAGGAAACCATGTCCTGTACACAGTAAAGTGAAAGTGAAATGTGATATAAGACAGAGGACACGGTGAAAAAAAACATTTTAAACAAGCATCCATGGCGGATAAATATAGACAGAATAAACTTCATGTTTTAACAAATAAATGTTAAAGAACTGGGAAAAAATAAAGTGAAAGAAAAGCTAGACAAGACAGATAACAGAACAAAGGGGAAAAAACTTCTGGGTTATGTCACAAAAATAAGTTAGATTTCTCACTTTATATAACACTATGAGGTATCAATAGACTGATCATTTGATTCTATGGAATATAATATTTAACCAAATAAGGATAAAGTTCTGACACCTTATTTCACGGAATAACACATTTTGGGAAATAACTAGTTGGAAAATGAATGCGTGCATGCAAAGCTAATCAGGTTTTCCCCTTAATAAACTGGAGAAATGTTTATATCAGGCAAAAATGTTTGAGGTTCATGACTAATTAAATATGTATATATGTTTCAAAAACTTTGATAATCACAAAAAGAGAGATGGGGTGATTTTCTACAATAACCTGAAATATAAAATGCATACAATTTCTACTGCAATTGAAAATACTGCACAACAAACTTCACTACTTCGGGACTATAACACCTGAAGGAGGGGGCTGCCATGTCTGGTGTGCAGGTCTTTAATGCTGGTGCTTCACAGAGCAGCTCTTCCTGAATGTACTTTTCTTACAACCTAGTTAACATCCCTTTTGCAGCTAGTAGAAATGGCTGCTAACTTTCTTAGTGACCTTTACCAATCCCTTCTTCTAAGATCTTTAAAAGAATCTTTAGCATTACTTTCACTTTTGCTACAGGCAGAGGAAGATATGGAAATATGGCAGGGAACCTTTTAACTGAAGTCAAGCTGGGTTGAAATCGGAGGGAGATACATACTGAAACACAAGGTCTGTCCTCCTACATCCGGATAAAACCTCCTCCAATTGCCTTTAGAGACTTAGGGTTTAAATCTGAAGGAGAAGTCTTGCCCTCACTATAGTAAATGGATTCTATATTTATTCAATTGAGTGAAAAGAGGTATAATACCTATAAGAACACAACTATTCAGGAGTGGTAGACATTGGGACTTTCTAGATCCTAACATGATGAGGTTTCATGAAATCTATTCCATGTTTGTTATTTTTACAAAGACTATTTATAAACTGCCCTCTGGGAATAGGTTAGGCTTTCCCCCCCACCCCCACTTTTTTTTTTTAAGACGAAGTCTTACTCTGTTGCCAGGCTGGACTGCAGTGGCACGATCTTGGCTCACTGCAACCTCCGCCTCCCAGGTTCAAGTGATTCTCCTGCCTCAGCCTCCCGAGCAGCTGAGACTACAGGCATGTACCACCACACCCAGGTAATTTTGGTATTTTTAGTAGAGACAGGGTTTCACCATGTTGGCCAGGATAGTCTCAATCTCTTGACATTGTGATCCACCTGCCTGAGCCTCCCAAAGTGCTGGGATTACAGGCATGAGCCACCACGCCCAGCCTCTTTTTTCTTAAATAAAATGTACCAACTCTTTCGGGAAACTGCCTGAAAGTTTTGGTACTCATGATCCTGAAGTAATTAACTCATTTTATTCCCAAAGGCTGTCTGCAGATTGTTTTACTGTGGAGGTTAATGCTGAGCCAGTAATAGAATCAGGAGGCTATGTCAAACAGTACGAGGCAAGAGCAACTGGCCTCAGTCCTTTGAGCTGCCCAGAGATAAAGCTAAAAAGGTGATACCACACAGCCCTCACGTCTGCATTTGATTTTGCCAAGTATAACTCAGCTATGTATCCTACTATGGAACAGACCAATAGAAAACGTCCTTCTGGATGCAGAGCAGGAACTCTGACCTAGCAGGCAGGGAAAACTCCATAATGTCTGGTGAAGTTCTTCTGTAGTACAGGCTATTCTCCCAGTTCAAAAAATATCTTCGGAAAAGGGCAGGTAACTCACCAGAAAGATACCAGCTTCTCCTCAAAGATAGTTTTGCTTCTTGAATGGAAGCCAGAGACTAACTTCAAACCTGAATGTGGTATGCTTGTGTAGCACTTTATAATATTCACAGTTCTTGTACCCATATTACCACATTTGACCCACGCCATCTTCCAATTCCTAGTTCAATGTTCTTTACACTATGCCATACTTCCCTTTGCATATTCCACACGACGGGCAGAAGACCCACTAAGGTTTTGATGACAACAAGCTAAAGCAGGGGCTAAATGACCATGCTAAAAAGCCAGGGAAGGAACTCAAAGTGGGGGTGAACTGGGAAGAAACCAAGCTGGATAAATCCCCTTGTTTTACACTTCCAAATACACACTGTGTCTGTAATCACTCACTTAATATCTGTCCTTCCTATTATACACGTATGGGAATGGATTATGTCTAACCCAGGGCTTGGTGCATAAAAATTATTCTACACGCATGTATACATATTTGTTTAACTGAGCTGAACTTTTGTAAGAGACTTTAGAGGAAGGTATAAAAGAATGTGTTCTGAAAAAGGCCATTTCTGACAAAGCCAGGACTGACCAACAGATCTCCAATTCTTAGGTGAGAAGAGAAAAAACTATCCTACTATGATAAGAGGGGACTAAGCAGAGATAAAGACCCTCATATGTGCCAGGTTTGGTGACTCAAGCCTGTAGTCCCAGCACTTTGAGAAGCCAAGGGAGGCAGATTGTTTAAGCCCAGGAGTTTGAGACCAGCCTGGGCAACACAGTAAAATCCCATCTCTACAAAGAATGAAAAATTAGCTGGGGCCAGGCACAGTGGCTCACAGCTGTAATCCCAGCCCTTTGGAAGGCCAAGGCGGGTGAATCATTTGAGGCCAGGAGTGCAAGACCAGCCTAGCCAACATGGTGAAACCCCATCTCTACCAAAAATACAAAAATTAGCTGGGCATGGTGGTGCATGCCTGTAATCCCAGCTACTCTGGAGGCTGAGACAGGAGAATTGCATGAACTCAGGAAGCGGAGGTTGCGATGAGCTGAGATTGCACCACTGCACTCCATCCTGGGCAACAGAGCGAGACTCTGTCTCAAAAAAGAAAAGAAAAGAAATTATCTGGCCATGGTGGCACATGCCTGTAGCCCCAGCTACATGGGAGGATAGCCTGAGCCTGGGAGGTCAAGGCTTCAGTGAGCCATGATCTCACCACTGTACTCCAGCCTGGGTGACAGAGTGAGACCCTATCTCAAAAAAAAAAAGAGAGACCTTCATATGAGTCTTTCAGATAGATTGCTAGGTCATCAAGCTGTAAGTCTTCTATAGGGGGTTTTGAAGGTAGTACAGTTGTTTCTTTCATCTGTCTGGAATGATTTGGGTATGCTCCAGGGGCAAGGTGCACTCTAGGGCAACCTTTACAGTTTGCCATTCAATCTCTCCTACTAACCATGTATGTGCCTATGAAGTCATGATTTAAATTGCCAGAGTTAAGCAGACATAAGTGCCTCAAATGGAAAAAGCTTTTTTTCCCCCCCAAGATGAGGTAGTGCGTATCTGAGAGCAGGTTTAGATTCTACATCTGTGACTAGTTAGTATACTTACCCACAGTTAACAATGAAAGTGTGTGTTTTGGGGGATTTGGGCGGAGGGGGTGTAAGCTCAAATTCTGGCAAACCAGATAATAGATACCAAAAGCCAAGACTCACATGCTGAAACTCGCACTTTGCCTTTTCTGTCCATGTGATAAAAACAGCAGGAAACAAAATCAAACATAAAGGATGAATTCAACTACTGTGAAGGGCAGGCTGTCAAAAGATTCAGATTCAACTGAAGTTTCTCTCTAAAATTAAAAACTTCTCTTTGGAGAAACAGAGCTAAATTGGGTGAAAGGTACTGAACAAAACTACTGGACATTCCCCCTCCTCGTCCTCCCTGGCCTGCCTTTGATGTTCATGCGCCATTAGTGGCTTGGCCTAGGGCTTGGTACCACACAGAGGAGCTTTGCAATCCATGCACATGCTCCCCACCACTCCCCAAGAGGGTCCCGTGAGGCACTATGGGTTACTTTTCAGGGTTTGTAAAAACAACGTAAGTGATCCCAAGAACTATGGTATCAAAGATTCTCATAAATGATTGCGGTATCAGTCAGAAAAACTAAACTATGTTTTTCCTAGATCTGAGTAGTGGTTAAATGACTAAGAACCAGGGAAAGGACCTAGAAACAAAGGAGAAATTAAGAAAAGGAAGCCTTCAATAAGTGCAATGAAAATCTATAAATGGTAATGCTGCCAAAACAAAAATACCCAAAGGTCTACAGAGTCCCTGAAATCATTTAAATGTATTAATAGGTAATGGTGGGTCCCAGACTTATAATTAGTGTTAGGAATAATGACTGTCTTTGCAGGAACATTTGGGCACAAGGTTACCTTCCATATTTCTACGTACGGTATCTTCTAACAGCAGAGAACCTCCAAAGAAGGGCAGGGGTGGGGTGAAGGCAAAATTCTGTGCTCGACTCTGAACTTTCTGCTTGAAATAACTGTGGTGCACAGTGAACGCTGAAGAATGACACCTCTAAGTATTTCTGTAACCTGTTGACCTTTTTTCCTAATTAAAATGACTTATCCTTCTGTGCTTTTAGAGATGTCATATTTTTATCTCAGCAGAAGTCAAATTGATTCTTCCTTCAAAACATGTAGAGCCAAAGAGGTGGAGGGAACATAATTTGAGCCTGCATTTCAAAGGCCTGCTTCTTCTGTACACACTGCGGTGACCTCATTTTAATAAAGACCAACCCCCAGCATAATAATTCCATTCTGCTGTCACGCTGGAGGATTGTAGTGTTTATAGAGCTTTGGAGAACGCCTTTAACTAGGATCACAATTCTGAACCAGCTTTTCCTAATAAAGGGTGAATAAAATGATGCATGATTGGCAGGTATGAAACTAACCAGTGTGTAAGAATTCTTCCTGTTTCACAGAAGAGGCTGCTTTACCAGGATGGTCTGCTATACCCATACACACCATTTTCCCCACTCATAATTGCTTAGAGATGTGAACTTGTATAGGGAATCATAAACCAGGTTGAATATGAAATTAGTCCTCAATATGGCACTTGTCAAAAAAGGAAGACCTAAAAGATACATTCTAACAGCCTGAGGCCTTTTTTCCAGGTCACAACATCCTATTCGTTAGGTAGCTTTTAATGACATTCTAGTAACTTGTACAAAATTTATGCCCATTGAGAGTCACTTAAAAAAACTGGACTTTAGTCCACTTAAGGACAAACCTGATAAATGAACAGTTAGACATTTAAAAAAAGACAGCAGCAAAATCAATCTTCACGTTAGTAGAAAAATTAATATTAGTTAAAACCTTAGTTAAAACCATGCACAAAAAGAGCAACAAAGTCACAATAAGAGGATTTTTTAAAAGCAGACTTGCGGGACTTATTTTATGAACACCTGAAAAATGAAAAGGGTAAAAGTACTTCATTTTTGTCATTGTCTTCAAAACAAAGCAAGTCTATCTCAAGGGGGAAAGAATGTAATCCAACTGCACAATGCATTCTGATGAAAGAACATGGGCAAGGTGAGACAAAAGAACTTTAATATGCACATTACCATCTTTTCGTTGCTCAGAACAGAAGATTTGCCCGGCTGATATTCGTAAATGCTTTTGGGCTCTGCACGGTATTTTCTTGTGTCTACTTTCTTATCTGGGGGTTCCCAGTCATTTCTGCAGAAAGAAAATTCTATTAGAGCTATTTTCATGACAACTGGCATTAGCTTCCGACACAGTCTGACTTTGGACGGCTGTAGTGTAATCAGAGAACTTTTATATCCAAAGCATAAAATCGGAGTCAGGGCAAACAATTTAGTTGTGCTGGTTTGCTTCTCAAAATAGCCAGTTAAACTTCAGTATTCTTTTCACTAAAGGCTTGAGGTGTCCTGTGCCCAAAACCAGGCACCGAGAAGGAGAGAGGAGAAAGCAGCAGGGAAGGAGGCAGCAGCAGCAAAGCCGGCTCTGGAAAAATCTTTCACCTTGCTTCGCTCTCATGGGCTTTTCATTCCACAGACATGCCTGTACTTCCCGCTCACACTAGTGCAGTGAGAGAGAACACAGGTCCTGGAGCCAGTTGACTGTGGTTCAAATCCTGCCACACCCCTTGCTAGCTAGGTGATCTTAGACAAGTATTTTACCTCTTGGTACCTCAGTCTCCTCATCTGAAAAATGGAGTTGTTGTAAGGACTAAACAATTTACATGAGACAGCACATGTAAATCACTGAGCAGAGTGCCAAGCCCATAATAACCACACAATAAATGTTAGCTGCTACCGTAATTCGATTCTTCCCTATTCCACACCCCTCCAAGCTACCCACCAACCTAAGCCTTTGGCATAGATACTTAACCTGGCATCCAGTGATGGATTTCAGAGGACACAAAAATCCTTGGAAATAGTTTGCAAATTTCTTAAAACTTAAAAAAAAAAATTTATTTTTGTGGGTATATAGTAGGTGTATATATGTATGGGGTATGTAAGATGTTTTTCTATAGGTATATAATGTGAAATAAGCACATCATGGAGAATGGGTATCCATCCCCTCAAGCATTTATCCTTGAGTTACAGTAAGTTAGGTTATACTCTATTTTAAAATGTGTAATTATTATTGACTATAGTCACCCTGTCACGCTACCAAACAGGTCTAATTCTAACTAATTTTTGTACCCAGTAACCATCACCACCTCTCCCCCAAACCCCCACTACCCTTCCCAGCCTCTGCTAACTATCCTTCTACTCTTTAAGTCCATGATTTCAATTGTTTTGATTTTTAGATCACACAAGTAAGTGAGAACATGCCATGTTTGTCTCTCTGTATCTGGCTAATTTCACTTCACAAAATGATCTCCAGTTCCACCCATGTTTTGCAAATGACAGGGTCTTATTATTTGTTGTGGCTGAATAGTACTCCATTGTGTATATGTACTGCATTTTTTTAATTCATCCATCTATTGATGAACACTTAGGTTGCTTCCAAATCTTAGCTATTATGAACAGTGCTGCAACAGACATGCGAGTACAGAAATCTCTTCGATATTCTGATTTCCTTTCTTTTGGATATACACCCAGCAGTGGGATTGCTGGATCAAATGGCAGCTCTATTTTTAGTTTTTTAAGGAACCTTCAAACTGTTCTCCATAGTGGTTGTACTAATTTACACTCCCACCAACAGGGCACAAGAGTTCCCTTTTCTCCACATCCTCACCAGCATTTGTCATTGCCTGTCTTTTGGATATAAGCCATTTTAACTGGGGTGAGATGATGTCTCATTGTACTTCTGATTTGCCATTTCTCTGATGATCAGTGATATTGAGCACCTTTTCATATGCCTGGTTGCTACCTGTATATCTTCTTTTGAAAAATGTCTATTCAAATATTTTGCCCATTTTTTGGATCAAATTATTAGATTTTTTTCCCATAGAGTTGTTTGAACTCCTTATTACAATCCAGATATCAATTCCTTATCAGATGAGTAGTTTGCAAATATTTTCTCCCATTCTGTGGGTTACCTCTTCATGTTGTTGACTGTATTCCTGGCTGTGCAAAAGCTTTTTAACTGGATGTGATCCCATCTGTCCATTTTTGCTTTGGTTGTCTGTGCTTGTGTAGTATTACTCAAGAGACTTTTGCCCAGATCAATGTCCTGAAGATTTTCCCCAATGTTTTCTTGCAGTAGTTCCATAGTTTGAAAACGTAGATTTAAGTCAGTAAATGATTTTGGTTTGATTTTTGTGTATAGTGAGAGATAAAGGTCTAGCTTCATTCTTCTGCCTAACCAGTTTTCTCAGCACCATTTATTGGGACTGTCTTTTCCCCAGTGTATGTTCTTGGCACATTTGTGGAAAATGACTTCACTACAGGTGTGTGGATTTGCTTCTGGGCTCTCTATTTTGTTCCATTGGTCTATATGTCTGTTTTTATGCTAGTACCAAGCTGTTTGGGTTACTATAAACTCTAGTTTGCGATTGTTTTATTTTTACATTACTGTACTTTGCACTGTGATTGTATTAAATTTTTCATGCAAGGCGGTAAACTTCTTGAAGGCAGAGACAATGATTTATATATAGCTAGATCCTTCCTTAATATATGGTTGAATCTGCAGAGAATACACCCAGTGGGTTCTTGATGAAGGCACCTATAAGGGATTTGTGGGTATACTCAGCTTGCTTTTCAAATTAATTATCAAACTCCTCAGGTAGATGCCACTTAAGTTTGTGTGCTGCTTGTAAAACAGCCATTAATTTGCCTATGAGGTTGGAAAAGGTACAGAGATGTGAAACTGGATGTGTATTTAAGGAAGAAGTAAATAATTTTGTTTGTCCAGAGCCTTTTGTGTGTTGAGAAGTGGTGTAAGCTGGGGTTGGAAGATACATGGAACACCTGTCCAAACAGCATGAGAAGGTTGCTTTAGGGAGCATTTTTAGAGATAAGAATTCAAGTCAGGTGTTTGAGACCAGCCTCGCCAACATGGTGAAACCCTGTCTCTACTAAAAAATACAAAAATTAACCGGGAGTGGTGGTACACACCTGTAGTGAACTGCTTGTACCTGGGAGGTGGAGGTTGCTGTGTTGTTCAGTTGCAGGCATTAAGAGATTTACTAATGCTGTCATTAGAATAAGTCCAAGGCGTATGTCTCAACAATCCATGTTGCATGAGTAAATGGACATTAAAAAGTGTGGCTTCATTTTAAAGTTACAGTCGTTGCTATGACTATGTGAGCACAGTATGCATAAAAGAATATGACATGTGACAAATCTTGCAGTGAAGATTTCTCTTGCGAAAATGTAAAAAGTGATAATGATAATCAACATTAATTAAGTCCATACTCTAAGCCAAGTGCTACCAGGAATGCTAACATGTATTATCTCATTTTATCCTTGCACTATCCTTAATGGGAACTGTGCTACTTTTATCCCCATTTTACAGAGGAGGACGTTGAGACTAAGAAAGAATAAGTCACTGCTAATAGGTGACAGAGGACAGACTCAAATTCTACATTCCTAAGAATGGAGGCTCCTAGGTCTCAATGAACACTGATGAGGACCAGGGTGGATGAATGAGAGACAAGGTGGCACTTACCTTTCTGGGCTTAACTTCAGTGAGGAAGAGCGGGCTGGGAGGGGTAGTGTGGCTGACCTCTTGACTACCTTCTCACCATCAATGTAGCTCATCTCACTTTTTGAGCGAGGCACAGAAAGGGGAGATTTTGCTGAAGAAAGACAGTGCAGACAAAAGACTTAAAACTCATGAAAACTGAAAACACGGTGATATCTTCACTCATCCACCACTTTCCCTTCCTTCCCCACAACCAGGTTATTCAAAGTCACTTACTGTCTTCAGAAAACGAGTATCTGGGAGAGTACAGATCTGAATCATCATCTATTAAACAAAACAAAACAAAAGGTAGTCAGAAGAAGTCTGTCTAAGGTAAGAGAACCAAGTTGTATGTTCCCCATTTCCACAGTCTGGTACCAGCATCCAGCCCCACTAGGGATCCCAGCGGAGAGAAGAGTGAAGCGCCGGAAGCTACACCACAGCAGAGCACGTTCGAGAGAAGCAAGCTTTGTAGAGCACACCCAACCAAACCTGCAGTCCAGGCAGGACAGTCACAACTGGTGGATGATGCTGCCTGATATCAGAAATGCATGGGGACAAACAGCCAAGGGTCCTCTTCCAGAGAATCCCCACAACCAAAGCTGGAATGCAGGATCTGGGTCTGGCTGAGTGGGAAGCAGGGGCTGAGATGGATCCTTGGCAGCTCCCCCAAGCTCAGTGTATGGTTAAGCCCATGAAGTTCAACAGTCTTGAAAGGCCTCTTAGCAGGGCCTCGGGCTGCTAATCGATGGGAAGGAGAGGCCCAGAGGGTGGGTTTTCCAGCTCCTTGCCTCAGCTTTGACCTATTTTATATGGTAAGCTTTCATACACAACATCATTAACAAAGAAGTTCTGCAGCCAAGAGAAGAATTTGAGAAAACCTTCATCAAAGTTTGTTTTGATTCCACCTCAAAATGGTTCCCTGAGTAGATCTGCTTCCTTGGAACACAACAAACCCATGGTCATATGGCCTCCTCTGCAAAAATACTATTTGGAGTGAGTATCTAAACTGCAACACTGGAGCGAATCAAACTCACACGTCTTTATGGTGGAAGTGATTCTCCAAAGGCATGATACACATCCCTACGTAAGCTCAACACTGGGCTCTAAACCTTGCAGAACCTATGCAAGATCTGAACCCCTTGCAGATGTGGCTGTATCTTCTGAACTAAAAGTCAGACCACAGGCACACTGATGGAACAGGTTTTTAAAGTGGGACTGTCCCAAAAAGGCACTCTATCTAGTCACTACAACCATGGTGATCCCTCCAAAGCACTACTCCAAAAAGAGTTACTCTGAAATAGTTAGCTTTTCCCATTGTCTAACAGCTTGCTAATCCGGATTCAAAATTCAAAAACGTGGAATGAAGACCCAATTCATTCACCAAAGTTCATGACAACTTGAGCAAAGCATATGAACTAACCTGCAAAGACAAGTCAAAGGATCCACTCTATGGCGGTGGCTTCGTGTTAATCAAGTCCTTGTTTCTATGCAAATCATTTTAAGTTTCAGAAGAGATAAGGCCAGAATATTTTATGAAATGTAAGTAAGCTAACATTGCTATTATTTTGAGTAAAGTATTATTCAGACAGCCTCGCTAACGATCACTCCTTCTTGTCCCCCATTTTTATTTGTCTCGGGTCTCCCTTGGCCCACAGAAAGGACAGGCATCAGGTACCAGGGATAGGTATCAGTTTCCCCCACTTGCTTCCCTCACTTTTAAGAATTTATCAATATCAAGGTTGAACAGGGCTTAAGGTTTTTTTTCTACCAATACAGCCAAGCCTTTCACTATTTTAAACTGAGTGTGTAAGCGTATTTATGTTATCTTCTGAAAACAGAATAGGGAATGAGATAAAATAGGATCCAGAAAAAGATTTTCTGAAAGATTATTCTGAAAAATTGTGTGTTGCCAGCTTTTTGTTTTTTTAAACAGAACGTCTGATTATACTGACAAAATGCCATGATGTCAAAGAAAACTAAAAATGAGCTTTGATTACAGGGACTTGATTAGAAGTAAAAAAAAATACTGCTTGCCCCAAATGAAAAGTTAGCTTAGTTGGAAACTGATGTATGCACTGCTTAAAATGTAGCCTAGCATTTTAGCTCAAAACTCTGTACATCTCTGAATCATGGAGAAATTACAGCTTATTAGTAGATGATGAAATTTATAACTATTACCTGGTTCATGAAGTAAGAAGCAAAGTTTTCATTGAGTGGAAAGGGATGGCATTTAAATATTTAGTTTTGTTTGTTTTTTAAAGCCTGAGCTCTTTAAAAAATGTTTCTCTCTAGAGCTTTCTAATGTGGAACTCTAGAAGGTTTATTAGAAGAAAATGAGAAATATTGGCTGAGCGTGTTAGTGCATGCCTGTAACACCAGCACTTTGGGAGGCTGAGGTGGGCAGATCGCTTGAGGTCAGGAGTTCGAGATCAGCCTGACCAACACGGCGAAACCCCATCTCTACTAAAAATTAAAAAATTAGTGGGTGTGGTGGCGTGCACCTGTCATCCCAGCTACTCAGGAGGCTGAGGCAGAAGAATTACTGAACCCCAGAGGCAGAGGTTGCCGTGAGCCAAGATTACACCACTGCACTCCAGCCTGGGGGATGGAGTAAGACTCTGTCTCAAAAAGGAAAACAAAGGAAGAAGGAGAAAATGAGAATGAGTTCTCATAAAATGGGGGAAAAATAGCACTACTTGGGAAATTTAACAACGTATGCACTTTGAAAAGGAGAGGGACAAGCAGGAAAGTTGGAGTTGGGGGATGCAGGTAAGAGAGGCATCTGAAGAACTGAATGTGTTTAAAGCTCCTTTCTTGGATGGGCATGGTGCCTCACACCTGTAAACCCAGTGCTTTGGGAGGCTAGGGCAGGAGAATTGCTTGAGGCCAGAAATTCAAGACCAACCTGGGCAACACAGTGACATTCCATCTCTACAAAAAAAAATTTTTTTTAAATTAGCTACTGCAGGTGGTGTGTACCTGCAGTCCTAGCTACTTGGGAGGCTGAGGTGGGAGGATCGCTTGAGCCCAGGAGTTTGAGGCTGCAGTGAGCTATGACTGTACCATTGCACTCCAGCCTGAATGACATGACAGAGCAAGACTTTGTCTCTTAAAAAAAAAAAAAAAAAAAAAAAAAAAAAAAAGAAGCTTGTTTCTTATTCAGTGTCGGTTGTAAAATCTCACCTATGCCAGGCTAACACAGGGCAGGAGGGTCTCTTTGAACAAGGTTTCATTTCTCTCAAAGGGTCCACAGGTTCTGACATGTTTCATTTCAGCTCATGGACTTTTAAGAAGACAAACTGAAGTCATAAAGATTCATCTGAACTATAACACAGGACAAGTTTTAGGGCATGTAAAAATCTGTCTTTTTAATTTCTGATGCTTGTCTTACAAATCTAATGGAAGAATATTTTACCTCAGCTTATGATAAAAATAATTGTAGCTTCCATTATTAAGTGACTAACAATGGCTGGCAATTTACTAATGTCAGCTCACTTAAACCTTGCAAAAAACTCCAAGAGGAAACAAATCCCTCATTTTACAGACAATGAAACTAAAGCCCAAGTAGGTTAAGAAGATTTGCCCCTAGCTGCATAGTGAGAAAGACAAAGCAGGCATGGATTCAAGGTCTTTCAGATACCACTTCCCTATGTTATCTCGTAGCCCTGTGACAGAGATGCCTACTGTGTTCTGTCCTTCACCCCAGCTTCATCTGCCCAATCCTGGGAAAGCTGAAAAATCTGCTATTCCATTATCATTGTCATTATGGAAGAGGCAGAGAAACATGTTGTCTTGAAACTCAAGGCATGCACTGCGCTGCTGGCCAGGCCAATTTCCAGCCCTTGAAGCCTCTGCCCTATTTTTGCATCCCTCGCCGTCAGTGATGTTTAAGCAAGTCTTCTGAGTTGCCTCACATTTCTAGTTTTCGTCTTGCTGGTCTCCAGGGACAATGGGTAACACTGAGTCACTCTTGCTACATCTTCTTTTTTTATTGAAACAGAGTCTCACTTTGTTACCCAGGCTGGAGTGCAGTGGCGCAATCTCGGCTCACTGCAACCTCTGCCTCCTGGGTTCAAGCAACTGTCCTCTCTCAACCTCCTGAGTAGCCACCATGCCCGGCTAATTTTTGTATTTTTAGTAGAGATGAGGTTTCACCATATTGGTCAGACTGGTCTCGAACTCCTGACCTCAGGTGATCTACCCACCTCAGCCTCCCAAAGTGCTGGGATTACAGGCATGAGCCATCTTCTATTAATAGTTGCTGCTCCTTGCTGCCCTCTCCTGGGAGGCCAAGTCCACACTGGGGACGATGGGTATGCATTAGAAATACCAAGGAATGGGAAAACAGTGTAAGAAGCATGTCTGCATTTCTCTACACTAGAGCTAGCCAAATGGGACAAGTATGCTTAACCATAGTTAAGACACGTTAAATGAAATGTTTCACAAATTGTCTATTACCTAGCACCTGAAGCTCTGCCTTCAGTATTTCTCCAAGGGCTCTTTAAAACAATGCCAGAGTGGCTCAGCTGTGCACAGGTCGTGTGATTTCTGCTCATGGTGGAACTGCATGCTAATTGTGCTCCTTAGAGCTCTAAGCAGCAGACATCAAACCTTGGCAGCAACACCCAGACCTTCCTATGCCAGTGATTTCCAGGAAGCTGTAACACTGCATGGGATTTCCACAGAGTAAACAACTCACTTAGGCCTCTGAAGGTCCTGCTGAGCTCTAATGTTTACACAGTGGTTCTCCTCTGGGCTTCGACAGTCTCTCCTTGGTAGCTCAATTTGGGGACTGCCACCCTCCTACAACTGCCAGGAGCCACATAATTGCCTTTTCAGCCACAGTAACTTTAAATAAGCTTCTAAATTACTTTTTTTTCTTTTTCTTGAATTTATAAAAATCTCAAAGACAACTGAAGAAAGTACTGTTTGAAAGTTGTTCTAAAAAACTTCATAACTGGCCAGGCACGATGGCTCACGCCTATAATCCCAGCACTTTGAGAGGCCAAGATGGGTGGATCATGAGGTCAGGAGTTCAAGACCAGCTTGGCCAACGTGGTGAAACTCCATCCCTACTAAAAATACAAAAATTAGTTGGGCATGGTGGTGTGTGCCTGTAATCCCAGCTATTCAGGAGGCTGAGGCAGGAGAATTGCCTGAACCAGGATCCGGGAAGCAGAGGGTGCAGTGAGCCAAGACTGCACCACTACACTCCAGCATGGGCTACAGAGCGAGACTCCATCTCAAAAAAAAAAAAAAAAAAAAAAAATGACTAAAATGGG